CCCCCCCCCACACCACCACCAGCCAACAACAGCTTGCACGGAGCTTTTTAAGGAGTATACATAGTTATGTTTAGTACACGCGTGTACGTCCCGTAAGAGATAACGGGGCAGCAGCAGCCGAAGCAGCAGCAACGCCCTAAAAATAAAAGCGAAGAGAGAGAGAGAGAGCCAGCAAGGGGGTGAAAAAAGTGCAGTGCACGAGGCCAGCTACGTATATAGCAGCGCGCGCGTGACCCTTGGCCTCACACCCCCCCTGCCGCGCGCGCGCCCCCGAGTGACTCTGCAAGTGTGTCTACGCCTCTCTCTGTGTGTGTATATGGTGAATTATTACGTTAACATTGTCGACTGGCTCCAAGCCAGGGCCAAATTTGCTTTCGGTTGCCGCGCTCCGAACCCAAGTCGTCTATCTGTGTGTGTGTGGATGTAATGTAGGTTTACCTACGGTGCACCTATACACACACACGCACGCACGTACGAACGTAACGCCTATCCACACACCGTGTAGATGATATATCAATTATTCCTCGCTGCGCCCCTCTCGACGCGCAGAGCATAATCCGTACGTCACAGCGAGAGTCAAAAGCTTCGCGGAATCTATATAACGATATAAAAAAGGGGGGGCTATCTACGTACTCGGATCTTTTCTTTTGAGTCCCTTTAATCGCTCGTCTCGATTTAACTCGTTTATCCCCCGAATTATAACGATAGGATGTATAACTACGCGGATCTCCCTTTTATATGTCATCGAATTTGTGCTCTACGTCGATCGGGAGCTCTGGCCTTTTCTCTCTCCCGCGCGCGGCTTAATACTAATCGATCTGCACTTTTTCTCTCTCTCTCGCTCTCTAGCTCTCTTTCTTTTATTTCAGTGGTACAGGGGCGTTTTGGTCAGTCACCCCCACCCTCCTCCCGGACTTTGGCTCGTGTATTCGCTTATCTCGCTTATTCTTGCACGGTCCAATTGCGATATAAACTTGCGAGTTTCCTGGCAGGGCGAGGACTATATATTACAAGCGTGTGTTTCGTTACTTAGAGAATTGAGTGCAGCGGTGAAATTTCGTTGCTTTGTCTACGACGACGTGATATCTCTTGATTTTTTGTTTTTTTCTTGTTTTTTGGCTTAATCAGATTGTGTATTATGTAGGCGAAAACATCGAGTTGTATCGAAAAATATTTTTGTCCTATGATTATCAGCTATTGATATCGATAATAACAATTATAACAATAACATCAACATCGAATCGTAAAGAAATAATTGTAACTTTATTGTAATTGATTTAATTATAGTAACAGGCATCACACACACAAAAATCAAATTAATAAATCCATTCTCAAAACTGAAATGTTTAAAAGTAGCTTCATATGTACACATCATTGAAAATATTATTAAGCACAAACCATGATCACTTGTAAATGACTATGTAATAATAGGCTATGATAATAAATTTTGTAATTAACACAGCAACACAAAGACATCATTAACTTATATTAAGTAGTACATAGATTAAAAAGTATAACGATAGCTTTTTCTAACACTTAGCTGTTAATGTTATATGTTTTTTTTTTTATGTATCGGATTGTTTTTTTTATTCTTTTTAAATTCGTTAAAGAATTCACAATCGTTTTGATCGCGATGTATACAATGGATTAAGATCTGCTCTAAAGCAATATGTTGACATTTTATTCGACCAATTAATAATAATAACAATAACAAAAATAACAGAGCCGACGTGAAAGGCTATATATCTATGTAAACGCTCGCACACACGCGCCTTATGCCTCGGACGGTGCGAGCTTTTTTTTTACTGCAATCGTTACATCCTATATATTATTTTTATATACAAATTTTTCAATCGATCGTCATCGTTTTGAAACGCGCGCGAATGTGAAGCGACAAAAAAATTCTCTCTTATCGATTACGGGGAATTTAAAACTGATAATACTTTATATAAATATTAATATATAAAATTAATGGTCTCTCATGTCGGCATCGTTTCGTGATTACTTTACAAGTACCTACTTTGAATTATTTTCAAACGTAGTAGAGAAGTCTGCAAATGAAAGAAAAATTATGACTTCACCAATAATACACTACTGATGAAAAAATATACTACTATTTTAAAGAGAGAGAGAGAGAGAAAAAAAAACAGAAAAAATGAGGTGCATGCACATGTAGATCAGAAAAGTGAACTGTATGTATAATGCTCGTTTAATGCTCCTCCTTTTTTTTCCTCCTTTCCACTATACATGTATGACTAATTTCAGACCAAAACAGCGTATCTGCGTCCAACGCGCGCACGCGGAGGTCTCCACCGCCGCCGCCACGACGATTTGCATAAAATTTCAGCGCGAGTGGTTGTATTTCACGAGTAAAAAAAAAAGCGTCGTCTCCGTGCAAAATTTTTAGCTTCCAGACCTAGCCCGAGATAGTAGTAGAGACCCCCGGCCACGCGAAATTCTCCCAAAATTAGCTTATGTTTATGGCTTATTTTAAATATTTTCTACTCGAATTTCAGAAAGTCTAATGCAGTTCTTTTTAATTTGCGCGAGAATAATTTATGTCCTTTTGCATCCCGGCCCGCAGTACCAAGTTTCGTTGAATTATGAAAATTCTTAATTTGAACGACGATTTCTTGACCCAGTGCGAGCGGAATTTTAAATTTAAAAAAAAAGAAGAAAATAGCGAATTGCCTGCAATTACAATTTTACAGTTTATTATTTAAACGAGCGAGATCTAATGCATGTGCCCGGGATAATCCGTTTTATGAGCAATCGCGCATATTCGAAAAAGTACTTTAAATCCCGATAAAAAGCGAAAATTTTCTCGCCGTAAAATACGATCAGTCGCTTAATTTGCGCTGCGCAAATTGATAAAAGTTTTCGGGTGGGGGGGCGGCGCGGCTGGAAACGCAGATCCGATGTCCCGATTTGAAATTGCACTTTTATTATTTACGTATACGCATGATGAATTATGATTCTTTAAATAATATTTATGAGTTCGACAGTTATCGGTCGATTATAAAGTGCGAGCTGATATTTTGTGAAAGGTGTTTCGGTCACTGTCAGAAAAGTGATTTGCCCCTGTCGCACGAGTTGAAAAAAAAAAAAAAAAAAATTGATACGAATCGATACAACAGTCGATATAGAACACGCACACACAAAAAAATGAATGGTGGAGATGGTGCAGATACAGAGAGTGAGAGAAATTAGAATATGGAGGCGAAACGTCGAATGAATGTTATGCGTTATATTAAATTTCGGTTATATGACGAGAGCCTGTCGTGTCAAGGCAGTGGCGTATGATCATCGCGCGATGCAATATTTTGATGGTTTTTGCTTTTTTTTTTTTTTTTTATAATGACACAAAAGTTGCAAATGATGTGTTGAGATGTGATGGCGAATTAATGACGATGTTTCGAGAGAGGATATACATAATATGAGAGACGATATTGTCGATGGATTTTAAAGGCTTGGCATCTTACATGTGTCTGGACGTGGCTTTTCTTCGACCGCCATGAAGGCCGTGTTCTCCGCCGTTGGTATGTGTCCTTCTAACGAATTGACGCAGTTTAACATGCTCCTGTAAAATACCCGACGTTCATTTTTCTCTTCCTTTTGCGCAACTTTTTTTTCTCTTTTTTTTTTTTTTTGGTAATATGTCACATTGAGATTACAAATATATAAGTGAGTGCAGTACACCTAAATCATCACACACGCGCAAACTTCATTAATTGATTTACTCTACGTAAAACTTTATTCTCGTTCCACATACAGATCCTCGAAAAAAAGGTGGTCTGAGCAACGCAATATGGTATATATGTAGAGCTTGATATTGCCGTGCAAGTTAGACCACAGCTGGAAACCAAAACAAGTTGGTTTTTCATCCGAGGATGAAGCTCATATTCGTTGCACTTTTTATGTACAGTGAGTGCAAATATCTTAGCGGCGGTGTATTTACAGGGCAATTTTCGAATTCAAAGTTTCCCAGGCGCTCTCAATTATTCGGTGGTATTTTCATAGTCTGTTTCAGATTTTATTTTCAGGGCGCTTTCGTGCGGGCGAAATTGAATTCGGTGCTGGTTTTCTTTGGAGAGAACGTAACGATATGATTTACTCTCGTAAATATTTGTATATTTCATAAGATAATGGGTAAATATTAATCAGTTAATTAAAAATTATTTACATTGTCGAATGGAAATTGAAACTGTGTCACGAGCATGGAGGAATTAAAAATTTTAACTGCGTTTCAATCTTTATCAGATTATCAGACTTGGACGTGAAAGAAAAATAGACCTTTAGATATCAATAATATCTAGGTATAGTAAAAATGATCACAGAGTATTTTTTTAATTAAAAAATAATGTAATGTAACTGGAACAACTTTTTGGCAATCGAGTTTTTCATGCAATGACTGCTTTTTCTGACAATATCCATTAATTTTTTCAACTCTAATAATAGATCTTATAATTCATTTCACAGTTATTTTTATAAAGAATTTATATAAATGACGAGTGTCTATTTACTTTTTATGCCCCTCAAAGCTTTTCAATATTTATTTTTTACAAACTAATCGAAAAGATGCAACTTCACTGCTACTTTTGGTTTTTCCTAAAAAAAAGATTTCTCGTGTGCATTTGGTGCGGTCAACATTAGCAAAATAAGTAACAGTTTTCACTTTGGCTACGCTGTAACCTTTGATTTTTTTAATCTGAAAAGTCTCTTTACCCCTATCGAATATTTCACTCAACGCCATTTATTCACGTATTTACTCGATGAAATAATTTTGGCAAATTAATTAGTTGCATGAATATTAAAGTATACGTAAAAAAATCAATAAATCGACTATACAAAGTTCTCTAGATAACATTTATTAGTACATTACAATTGCAAGGAATTTGCAGTAAAAAGTTTCTTAATCGTAAATCACTATTGATTAGTTTCTCAACGTTTATTATACCAATAGGCAGTTTATTGCAGTTTTTGATTTAATATATTGCGTTTAAATGAACGAATAACACAGTTTAAGTACGCTTTATTAAGAATTATTATTGTGCGCTATTATTAGGCATATTGATGGCAGTTGCAGCGTCAGTTAGGATTGTTTCTCTGCTAGAGTTAGTAGTGAATTCTTCATCCCTGCAATTAATATTCCAACGTGCATACACAAAGCCATAAAATAATTCATATTAATTTCAAATGTAGGTGTAATATTGTATGTATGTTCGAAGTCAGTCGGATTTTCAATTATTCGTATTGTGTGTGAGCCTGTGGGGGGTATTAACTATCTTTACTGGCTTTCGAGTATTTCTCTTAATTATTTTAATACATAAATTATGTTTCTCAATTGAGTAAGGTTTCTTCTGTAATTGTAGATGGTATATATAAAGCAAGATCCATAGAACTTGGTTTTCACAAAACTACTATGTAAGTAGAAACAATTCTTTTCTTTACGGCATAAGTAGAGCAATCGTATACGGGTAGCAGCCCGTCTATATGAATACTTTAATTTTTCAATTTTTTCAAAATTGGACTGCCAAATGTTATTAAAGTACCGAACATAAATTTTAACGAATGTTCATTCTATCCTTTAACTCGTTTCGTTTATAACGTTAATACGCCGTTGAAGCTAGTATCGGGGCAAAACAGCTCGTCAAAGTTTCGCTATATGCGCTCGGATGTTCACGAAAGGATTCGAATAAAACGCTATTATGAAACTCATACCGACTAAATTACGTCGCGTTAAAGCTCTTTGGAGATTACCCGGAATCCCGGAGGCGACCGGTTTAATCTATAATTAGTCGATTTTTAAGCTAGTTATGTTCTTCGATGTAAGCTCGAAATTTTCCCAAAATTCTATCCGCGTTCGATGGATATTGCTGAATATATATCGGTGTTTATAAAACGATACAACTATTAATTCTAACTCAACATCTTACTCAGCCCATAATTTAGACAAACAGTTATAAACGATGACAATTTGGACACTTCATCACCACCCTTTCTTCTTCGTTCGCAAGAGGGTTGATTAAAAGGAAAGGGGACATTATAAATTCAAGTATCCTCTTGTAATATTGAATAACCCATAAGTAGCTTTATCGATGGAGTAGGTATTTATATACAAATTATAATACGACTATCTAACGCAAGAACCTCAAGTTTCATCGGTATAAGAAACCAATTTATTAAATATTTAACGGAAAGAATCAATTTTTTTCCTTCCCCCCACTTTTTTTCTTACCATAATTTTTTGAGCCTTTTTATACGTAAAAATGATGCAGGAAGACTGGGAATAAAGAGTGCAGACGAAGCAAGGGTCCACAACTGTCATTGTTTATCTACTTTTGCATGGGCTTACTCTATTGTGATCGATAAAAATTTGAACATTTGGGAAGCTCATACATTTAACAATGACAATTTGAAGAATCCGCATTTAATTACGTAGCTAAAATAAGCGTTTCAGTAAATTTGAATTGAATCCCCAAAACTCTAATACTTCAAGTACGTAATATAAAGCAAATCTGTTTGAATGTTTTTGCTGATGCTCATAGTTTTTTTAGCATAAAGCGAGCGTTTGATGCCATTCAGCATTATAAATCAACTAAATCTAAAATGAATATTTTTAAAAGAATTTCTAGTTAAACCTTTAAATTTTTTTATTGAAACTCATCCCAAAAATGTTCTTTAGTTTCACTTTGTCACAGTAGAGTTAAAACTTCAACAATTTCAACGTAACAGCAAACGTACTTTACTTTGCAGGTCAAAAAGTAGATTCAGATTGACTACCCTACATGTTTCATTTCATCGTGCATCTATTTGGTTTTTGGTAATTCATATTTATGTCAATTCGAACTGTCATTTGTAAATTAATTAATGACCCTTTAACATTTTTGTGAGTTATTAAAATGTTACTATAATTTATATACTAAATTTTTAATAAATTAAAACTTATGATGGCATGCGTATAATTTAATACTTCATGAGAGAAAAATTTATGCTGGGCTGGTATGTTTTTAATCTTAATTTTGTTGCAGCAGATATTAAAAATTGAAATCATATACATGTAGTTGATATAAACATAGAAGCCCTCGGATGATTGTAAAAAATTAACTGTGATATGAATTATAATATAATTATTGATACTGAATAAGTATGAACGTAAGCTTATATTTCTGCCATTTTGAACTCATGCATAAACTTTCTTTATATTATTTAAATGTTATAAAATTTATTTTTCTAGACCACTAGAATAGTTTTAGTAGAGTAAAAATTCATTGGATGTATCTATTTAAAATTATATCATGCTCGCAGTCATATAGAAGTAAGGATTCTTAAAAACTTACATATTGAACCGAGGATTATTTTTTAAGTTATATTCATTATATTTTCTGTCCTAAAGGTAGGTATTTTACCCCATAATTCTCTGTTTCTCACTCATACACTTAATTTTGCAAAAATACACGACTTTCATACTGCTTTCGAAAGCAAATTCACATTCATCATTCTTAAAAAATAATCCCTCAATTAATCATTTATAATTCAAATAGATTCAAATTGAAGGGAGTACATGCATCGAAACGAAACGCATATTCAATTGATATGTACTAAAAATTAGTTTATGGTTAAATTATACACACTCACCCATAAATTCTGCTGTCCCGCAAACTGCTCCTGTTTTCATAAGAATAAAATCTATAATTAGAGAATCATTACTTAGCATGTTATTTCGTATTATATAGCTAGAAGTGAATTGAAATTACGATGTTTGTAAAGTATTATTTATCGTGAATGAAATCATTGTTTCTACTTAAAATAATTTATTTTTAAGTGATTTTAATTTACATTCAATTAATTTTAACTAAATTTATTCACAATGGATAGAATGCTGTGTATAGGTAAAGTTAAGAATATCATGAAATCATAAGTAAAATCATACAATCGTTAATCAATGATAATTTTTTCCACAGTTAAAAAAAGTTCAACTTAAAGTAACTGCAAGTTTACAAAATAAATTTTTAAATGCATCCACTTGCACAAACGAACCATCTACGCATCCAAGCAAATAACATGTACTAACCTTTAATTAGAATCATCCTACAGACAATATAATCTACGGGGTTAATTATTAATAAAATATATGCAATAAAAGTAATAACTTTACTCAAAATATATTGTACAAATATAAAATTTAAAATTAAAAAAATTCGGAATTACAAATAAATAAATCATACCTTAGACATAACATATATTTTTGTCACGGCGCACAATAAGTTTGGTTTATCGCATACTCTGATTTCGAAAATTAATACATGTGCACGTTACCGAATAGAGTACCAACCCCAGTTTTTTTTTAGAGTGCGGTAAATGAAAATTACCTTACGCCGTGTCAAATAATAGTATAAACAACACGTGCGGGATTGGTTACACCAACCATGGGTTAATATGCTATAATATTAGCCAGCAAGAGCAGCACAAGACGCGTGAGGATTGTTATCACTAATTTCTTGTACTCATCATGTGGATATAAATTATAACGTGGGACATTCTACTGTTTACTAATTTATTTTGTTACATTTTAATATTCTGTATTTTACTGAAGAAAAATTTCTGAAAAAGTTTAAACCACTAAACTCTGCTAAACATGTTACGTAGACGTGAAAAAATTCGAAACGTCTCGATCAGGCAGACGTTTAAATGTTTTTTAGATTTCATATTTTTTAATTAATCCATTTTATAATATTTTTCGTGAATGAGGAATTTGGCAAAAATGTAGTAATGATCTCCAAAACTAGAGTTTTTGGAATTAAGGCCACGTGAGCGATATTTAGCTTGAAAACGACAAAAAAAAGGTCAACTTTGTGAGGTTCAAGAGTGCCGCTCAACTCATAAATATATCTCTCAACATACACGTTTTTACTTCAGATCCAGAATCGGAAAAGAATCATGCCAAGAAAAAGAAAGTATAGAGCAAAATGAAGTAGAATTACGTAACTAAATTTGTTCTAGTGGTTGCAAGTCTTTCAAAAAATTTGTACATATAACAATAGTAATGAACAATAAGAGAAAAAAAGATATCACGCTGCAGCAGATTTTTAAAAATTAGCAGAATGTCCCATAAACTTAAGTAGACAAGATATCGGTATGCACTAAGAACTACTAAAAAAAAAGTATAAAAACAACGTCAATATAGGGTAAAACCGTATAACATTTTATTAATTTTTTTTAATAAAAATAAATATAAATAACAACAAAAAAATATGGAAAAAAATTTGTCACTAGCCCGATTGGCTTCATAAATATTTTCTAATACTTTATATCAAGTATTTAAATTATTTTATTATTGCAGTATCTTAAATTTATTATGTATATATTTATAATAATTAGCTTTGACTAATAAGTAGCACCGATCATGGATTTGTTCTCATCCAAAGCACTTAAGATAGCTAAACAAATTAGCAGTTCAATCATGATTATCATAAAGAAGTGTACGTGACGAATATTATATTTTGAAATGTCATTGGAATATCGCTGCTCTGTATTTTTTTTTGTTTGTTTGTATTTTTATTTTATTTATTAAAATTAACGACGAATCAAAGAGTTTCGGGTATCCGAAATGTTCTCTCGCAGCTGACTTTGCTCCTTCGTAACGCCGAGGTAGTTGCTAATGACCATTTATACGACAGATAGTTAGATCGTTTTTGTTTGATTTTGGCATCGTAATACAGTCATAAGTATGCTCCTCTGTCAACGAAACACGATCCGTACGTTAAGACGGTGTCATGGACAAAATGCCTCCATTTTCTGCATTACAAAACGTTAAAAACACATCAAATAGTTTCTCATGCGAAAAAACTGTTTTTTTTTTTTTTTTAGGACAACTAAAAAACGTGCTGGATGTTGGATCACTCATAAGTCGGTTTGGTGCGAGCAGCCAAAAGGGATAAATAACGACACACAAGAAATCATGGATTGACAACTCTACAATAAACAAAAAAATCATAAAACAAGCCATTACAAAAAATTCCAAAATAGCTACATAATAAAATATCATATTGTATTGTAATGTTGCATGCAATTATAGAAAAAAAATAAATAAACGAGTATACAGTTATTGTGCGCCGACTCCATTACGCCGTGTTAAAGTATCACATATGTAATAATTAAATATATTTGTCAAGCGAGTCTGAAAAAAACAATAAACGTTTTCACTGCGGAATGGTATCTCTTACCTGCCGTTGCCGTGCCTGAACAACGATAGAATCTCTTCGAAGGTCTTGTTCTTCGTTTCCGGCACCTTCTTGTACGTGAAGATCCAGAAAATCGCTAAGAATGCACTGAACGGTAGGAACGTGTAGTTGTCAAGGTGATTCTATAATTCGAACGGAACAGAAGAGAAAAAAAAAACAACGAATCAATGCCACACCGTCGAGTCAAATAATAATAATAATGATATATCCGTACATGCATGCTCGGGAAGCAGATTCCGACGAGGAAATTGGCCATCCAGTTGACCAGCACGGCGATGGACATGGCGGCGGGCCGCGGGCCCTGCGAGAACAGCTCGGCGGTGATCATCCAGGGTATCGAGCCCGGCCCCACGGCGAAGAACACGACGAAGCTGAGGATCGACACCACCGACAGGTACGACATCCAGTCGATCATTTCCTGCACGTAACCAAAAAACTCCTATCAGGCGAGTAGAACCGAGCTCGCCTCTTTCCCGAGAGCTGCGGGGGAAGAGATGCGAGAGGATTGCGGACCGGACTTTGTATATAGATATATAAATTCTGCCCCCAAGACCGCAGAAACGGTCGAGAGAGAGAGAGAGAGAGAAAACTTAAATAATAGAAAATGCGCTGCTTCGTGTGGTTTGCTCTCTGCGCGCGCGCGTCTGCGTAAATAATTCATGTAATACGTCTCTCGTTCCTTTCTCCACGTTTTTTATTAAATAAAATATTCATCTCGTTTATAATGAAAATTTCTGCTGCTGCTGCTGCTACCGCTTCTTTTTTTTTTATAATATGTAAACACGCCCGCAACTTGTATTAAATATTAATCCAAAGAGCTTCGAGCTTTAATAACGAAAAGACTATATATCGAAAAGATATCTATTGTCCTTTGCTCGGGCGCAGTCAAAGAGCCGCACCGCGCGTCAATCGAAACGGATTAATATTTCACCGCGCGGGAACAGAAACATATATAGCGAGTCGCGGAAAGAACACAGCTCGAAAGTAGCCAAGAGGCATATCACGCGCCGATAACATTTTTTTTTTTTATTTCGAATAAAGATCGACTGTGCGAGTCGTTGAAAGGCCGCAATCGAAAGCTCGGCGGAAATTTAAATTAAACATACACGTATAGAAGCGGTTAGTTTTGAGAGAGATTTTCGATAAAAATTCATAATAAAAGAAAAAGTTAATAAAGCGTTTTAAGTTAGTAGAGGTTTATTAATTTTTTGCACACCGAAGCGAGTTAGAGAGCAGTATCGTATATAGAGGCTCGAGCGACCACACAACCACCAAATTATATTATATTAATGAATAAAAAAGTTATAGAAAGGTGAAATTCTCCTCCCCCAGATGCAGCTCGGGAAAGAGTTTTGTTAATGTCGAGGGGGATGGGAAAAGGGATAGACGGGAGAAAAGGGTTTTACAAACGAAAAACGAACGAAAAAGTGATAAAGCTCATAAATAGCAGGAAACACAGGGATTAGTAACTTACGTACTAAATGGAAATGATACAATTTTCAGTTTAAAAAAATCCCGCGAATCCGAGTGAAAAAGTGATTAAGTAATGCGCTCTCGATTCACAAACTGAATGGGCTTTGTACAAGGAGAAAAGCTGCTGCTTCAAAGACTGTTTTAGTTTTGTTATTGTACACGAGCAAAAAAAAAAAAAAAATCATCACTAATGCATCTCCATGGTTAATTGCTTCTGTAGTTATAATGGCACGCGAGAGGCTCGAGATTCTTTAATAAATTATTACAACGTCGAAACCTCGGTAATTATATCGCAGAGTGAGAGAGAAGCGAATGAATCGATGAAAAAGGAAGAAGAAAAAAAAAGAAGAAAGTACTAAAATGTAAAAAAAAAAAAGATCTTTAAAAAATGTCAAGCGTATATTGAATGAATGCTGCTGCGCAGCGAGAGCTGTGCTGCTTTGAAAAAGATGAATAGTCGCGTAGAGAGAAATTTAAAGCACGTCTTGCGCACACTGTATGTAGAGGCAGCTCCTCTGCGCCGCTTAATAATAAATAAGGGTAAAACTTTATATTTTTTTTTTCTCTCTCCGCGCGTCGAGAGCAAAAGTATACACACTCCGGCGAATCGAAATTCGCGAAAGAGCTGCGCGCGCGTGGCATCATCGTACACATAAAGAAATTATTCATATATAAATGTACATATTACGTTAGAGAGTGAGGGGGGCGCTTGGGTACATACTTGTCTCAATGTGTACGTACCCGCTCGAGTCGGCTCGCTCGGTACTCACCTTTATCAGGAACGAAATGGTGATGAATATGGAAAAGATAAACATGCCGCCGAGGCCGTATAGGTGGAGGGTCCTGCGGCCGGTGCGGTCCATCAGCGGGATCGAGACGAGGGTCATGATCACCATGATGACGCCGATGCCGATCGTGGCGAATTTCGCCCGCTCCTGGGGCAGACCCGAGGACGAGAACAGCGACGTCGAGTAGTAAAAAACCTGTGTGCGCGGAGAGAGACAGACACGTATAAATGTCACATCAAAAAAGTAGCAAGTAGTATATATACGTATAGAGCTTTGATGAAGGCAAAAAAGGTAAGGTATACGCAGACACTGGAGCAGCGCATCGGCGTCTTTCGCTCGCTACCTTTTTTTTTTCTTCAATATACATTAGACGTAGACGTAGACGACGACGACGCTGCTCCAGTGTATGTCAAGACTCTCTCTCTCTCTCTCCCTTTTTCTTCGCTCGCGCGAGCGGTCGCCAAGGAGAAAAAGGAAGACGACGACGACTACTTTGTGTGTGTATCCCCGAGTCGTCTGAAGGATGTATATATATACTCGGAGAGAGAGAGAGAGCTCCTTTCATCTAGGCTTATTAAAAAAAAAAAAAAAAAAAGGAAAAAAAGCCTCGGAGCTTTTTTCGGTGAGCGAGAGCGAGAGAGATTTTCGCCTCGTCACGTCGCGACGACGTCGCGCGTCGTTTATACTCACTGCATTGATGCCCGACAGCTGCTGGGACAGCTGCATCACTATGCCGATGACGAGGGGCGCCCTCAGCGTGGGGCTGCAGATCAGCTCGGTCATGGATATGGTCGACTCGGCCTGCTGGGCCCGCTCCTCCGCTCGCATCTCCTCGATGTCCTCCTCGACCTGATTGCTGGCGCGCAGCTTGCGCAGCGCCTTGCGCGCCTCCTCCTCCCACTGCTTCGTAATGAGCAGGTACCTGTGCGAAGAGAATACTGGAATTATTTTCATATCCCCAACCCCACTCGTACTCGCGCTGCTCTTATATTATATATCTTTATATACGATCTCGAGAGGGCCTCTACTCGAGAGTTATCCTTTTTGCACAACGACGACGACGACGACACTCGAGCCGCATTATGCATAGTCGACGTAGCTATATATCGCTTTTCTCTCTTGGAATAATTCAAACTCGAGGAGATATTCATAAGTAAGATAAGTAAGTGCACGCGTACGTACCTGGGAGATTCGGGACAGAAGGGCAGCAGCACCAGCTGCAGCACGGCTGGACACACTGCCAACCCCAAGAGCAGCGGCCATCCGTCCTCCGTGCCCAAAATCTGCTCTATACCCAAGATCTGCGACAGCAGCAGTCCAATGGTCACGGCCAGCTGATTTATCGTGCCCAAACCACCTCTCAAATTCAACGGTGCGATCTCCGATATGTACATGGGCACGAGGCTGGTGTGCAGGCCGCAATTGATGCCGATGACGAAGCGGCCGACGAACAGCATCTCGTACGAGCTGGCCAACTTGGCGCAGAACATGAGGCAGGCGCCGGCGATGCCCACGACGTTGTTGAGCAGCAGGCCGCCCTTGCGACCGAATCGATTGGCGATCATGCCGCCGACGAAGCCGCCGAGCATGCCGCCGATGGCGAAGATCGAGACCGCCACCGAGTACATGCGCTGCACCGATTCCTGGGCTATCTCCTCGCCGTAGCGGCCCTTGTACACGCCCTTGATGAAGTCCTCGATATTCTGGGAGAAAAAGAAGAGATAAGGAAAAAAAGCTAATAAGGCTGCGAAGAACAAGTAGAGAAAGAAGAAGAAGAAAAAAAGTCAATTAAGGACGCGCGCCCGATCGGCTATAGAGCTCTGCGCACGACAGGACTCGAATTCGTGATAATATAGTTCGTTTTCTACTACCACCACTACTACTACTCAGTTGGGGGGGCTACTACTTCGACACAGTTTAATCTAATTGGGCAAATCGTGTGCGCGCCGCGAGAGAAAGCTCGAGTATATATACATATATATACTACTAGAGACTCGCTCTGTGCCGGCCTACTTAGAAAATTGTGTGGTGTCATGGTCGTACACACAGGTGCTTGCACCAACGCCGCCACTCTAATGGCACAGAAACTTCTCCTTCTTCGTCTATATACGGAAATTCGACTAGCGGGCGGACGGGGGGATACAAACACGAGGCAGGCAGGCAGGCGGGCGGGCAAATAAGTTGGCAAATTAATTATGTGTTGGGAGCAGCAGCCTTCGGTGTATATATATCGCGATTTCACGCGTAGCTCAGAGTAGTAGTAGTAGTAGTAGTAGTAGTAGGTATAGGTCTCTCTATATGCACGTGATGAAAAGTTCGAAAGACTCGCCGCTCGAGACTACCGCGCGAAAACAAAAGCTATACGGGGGGATAAAAATTCAAATTTAATCGGTCGGGGGGGATCGATATCGCGTATATACATACGTACACACGGAAAAGTTACATCGAATTCGCATTTATATATATAGACGCGTATATAGGGATATTACCTTTTCTGGCGCATTGATCACTCCGGTGTTGTAGCCGAACTGCAGCATGCCCAGCACCGCTGCGAGTATCGCGTACGACAGGAAGAACGTCAGCCCCTGTAAAAAAAAATAGTATCGTTAAAATACCCTCTCGTTTATACGCGTGTAATTCTCGCGCGCTCGGTAGAGAGAGCTTACGAGAAAGTGTCGAGGATTAATCCCTATTTATATTATATATATAAAAAAAAAGAGAGAAAAGCTCGTTAAATAATCATCGTCGTCGTCGTCGTCGATTTCGTGAGTGCGTATGTGCGATAAATCATCGACAACGACGATGCGATGCTGTTGTATATGTATGTATAAAGTGTAAAATAAGTATAAAATAACGAAACGATAACAAAAGGAAAAAATAATCTTTTTTATTCAATGCCAAAAACATGTTCGATTACAAGGTAACAAAACGATATACAATATTGCATTCTGAAAAGTAAAATATGTTCATAATATAGAAACAGATCGATGCGTTAACGATACAATAATAAATGTGAAAATAATTATCGAAACGAAGCCAAAATCAGTGTGCGTGTGTGTGCGTATACAAGTGTAAAATTTTCAGCTCGTATCAACTTGCAGCGTACTTCTTTTTTCGTTGGAAAAGCTACACGAAAACATCAACTGAACTATAGTTCTCGTGTAGTTTTCAACAAAAAAAGCTGCTTAGTGTAAAAAGAGTTTGACTATATACGGAACACAGCACAAAGTTACAAATACATCGAACTTCATCAGTGCACACTTTTCTGGTTATTTTATTCAGCTTCCGTTTACAATATTGATTGATTCACCCGTTCGAGATGCATTCAATAAATAAATCCAAAAAGCGAATAAAAAATCCCCTTTCGCACAAGCTCCCTTTTTTTGGGGGAAAAGTGGCGCCGTACGAAGCTTCTGTATAAATATATATGATAAAAACGCTGTAAAGAACGTACACATACGAAAAATCATAAAGACGCAAAAGAATCTGTAACAACATGAAAAAGAAAAAAAGCGGCATTAAAAGAAATATTTCTTGCTGTATATGTAATAATACAAAAAAAAATGTTGCTAAAAAGAGGTATAGTATAATAAAATCATGCAAAATCGGACATGTCCGGGATTATGCTTTGAATTATTATTTTTTATCTTTTTTCACCTGCTCCAGAAGCCGAAGCTTTCTTCGATGCGAGTGTTCCTCGAGTCTGTCCACGTATTCTCGTAGCTCTTCGATTTCCTCTTTCACCTGCTGCACGGTATCTAGTTCATGCTGTATAAAAAAGAAAAAAAGGTAAGGAAAGATGAAGAAATATTTTTGATCCATCTCTTTCGATTCTCGCCAAGCTGTATAGCTCGGCGCGCGCGCGAGCGCGCTGCTGATATTTATAGAAAATTATGAGCTTTTAGGTCAGATATACGCGAGCGATGTCGAATGAATTTCAATAATGTAAAAAAAAGTATATGGTACTTGTTTTTTTTCCTCACCTCGTCCGTTTTTATATATTACAACGACGCGCGCGCGGGGGAGGGCAAAGAGGAGGTATGAAAACCATTTATTAAGCAATTCCTGTTTCCAGCGTCGTTTATTATTATTTGTATAACGAAAGTTCGTAAATCAGATACATAGGCATGCGTATACACGATGAAAATTCCAAAATGAATTATTAATAATCGCCGAGAGTTATTCGTTGTTATTATTTTCCATGGAAATATTTTATTGCGCGCTGCTGCGGTTTGCGTGTGTTTGTGTGTGTGCGTTCTCATGAATGCACTTGAGCATTAAGCAATTAGCATATTTATTTGTGTGTGTGTACGCGGCAGATATTAAACGTTCGTCGAAAATTGCTCGTGTAATTTCGTTTTATCGATTGGAGAATTCGGATAATCTTTTAATTTTCCTTTTTTTTTTTGGTATAAATGTAAAAACTTAATTAATGCATCGCTAATAACGGGTGTGACGAATAACGTGTACGAAAAAAAAAAATTTTGCGAGAAAATTACAACGAGTTGATTAAAACGCACTATAGAACACACGTACGTACGTACGTCGCGTCGCGTCGCGGCGAAATAAATCAAATGAAATATTTTTTTTTTGTCATTTTCCATATAAATAAAGCCTATATAAGGCTCAGGTGGTTTTTTCCTGTAGATGACTACTTTAATTAGAATTTTGCCTCCATATATTTCTTCCTTTTTTTTTCTGGCGTATGATATTATTGTTGTGTGCCACAGTGTGTCTGTGTCTGTGTGGGTGTATGGGCAGCGGCGGCGCACAACTCATTCGCCGTCTCATGGGAAGCGCGCGCGGCTCACACGAGACCTGGGTATAACATTTCAGCTTTGCGTGTAAAGTTTGAATTCATCAACGTCATACCAGCTCTCCCTCTCTCATTCCTCTCTAACATTTGAGTGTGTATATTTTATTTTTCTGTTTTTTTCCGAGTTGTTTTTTTTTTGCTGCCAGCGGTTTTATCTAACGAGGCCTGGGTGGAATTGCTTCCCCCCCCGCGCACCGAAAACGCGCCCCACGCGCTCGAGAAATTAAAAACACTTATACGATGCACGTGAAATTTTAATCGACGCTCGGTATACACGCGCGTGTGCGTCTGTGTGCACTTTTTAACAATGTTTTATGCGTTGTTAAGGCGCGGCCAATTTACATTTTTATCCAATTCCGAACTTACGCAGCAGCAGCGGCACACGTTACAATTAAACTTATTTCATTATTTTATACGCGCGCTCGCGTATAATACGATTGAACGAGAATATATAAAGAAATTACCTTAATCGCCACCATGTCGCGTTTGACCTCGCTGACCTCGCTCTGGCAGGACTCGACGCTCTTGGTGAGCTCCTGGAGCTGCGTGCGTATCTCGCAGAGGGCCACGGTCGTCTCCAGCTGGCGATCTCCGCGCTGCAGCTCGTCCAGCTTGGCGCTCAGGTTCATGCTCATCACGCTCACCTGCTTTTGCAGGCTTTAGAGTTTTGCCGAGCGAAAAATCATTCGATAAGATTAGTCGAGATTGATTTTTGCTAAAACGTGGGCTTTATATAGAATTCAACCATCATCATTTCAGTAATACTCAACCAAAAAAATTTAAAACAGTCTAATTAAGTGAATTGGATGTTTTTCAATTTTTTTTTTTTTTTTTTTGTTTCACTAAAGGTGTTGCGTGCATTAAAAAGTTTTCAAGTATAACAATCTTGCTACGAGACTTTACGTATAATTGAATTTACGTCTTGAATTCTCTTTCTCTTTTTTTTCATTTTTTTCACTTCTTTTTTTTTTATACTAAAATTTTTACAGCGAGCAACAATCCGGTCGAGTACCTGAGATTTTTCATTCATTATCGTACTGCACGTCACTCAAAGCATTCAATGTGTGCATTTTCTGTGACTGATTCTATTAAACTGCAATTTTTGTATAAAACGCGAATATCGCTCTAAGCTTTCCGAGTTCGTTGCAATTATAGCATTTTATACTGATATACAAAAGTAGAAAACAACGAAAAAACTGTCAATAAAACGTAAACGACTAACGTAAAAAAACTTTAATTAATTCAAATAATTATTTTCATTTTATTTATTTTTTTGTGGAGTGTATTCTAGCACGAAAATCATTCGTGTACACAGCCAACGTCAATTTGTTTCTCACAATTTAAATTGAAATTGTTATAAATCCATTCATTTAGTCACCATAATGCGAAATAAACTACGAAGACAAACAGCAATTTTACTTTAAAATCTTCGAATAAAGTTTCGTGTGCGCATAATACTTTTGAAATGAATTTCAAAACATAATATACCAATTAGTAATTTTGTCAAAGCTGTGCAGATTAAAAGAGAGATGCCGTTGCTCACTAATGGTGTACTAAAGTTGTACTTCAGTTTGAAAAAAAAGGAGAAATGATCTATTCGTTTTGTATCATTAAAAATAAATTGTTTCGTTTTTCGTCGCCTAATACCCTTTGAATTATTTTTCATCTTGCACAAAAAACTAAGAAAACTATGTCGAAACTTTGTAAAACGAAACATTTTTACATTTTCGCTGGGTAAATTATTTAATTGAACGAAAAGTCAGAAAGTTTTGTATTCTTGCGCATTTTTTTTCTTGGAAAGTTTATTTATTCGTTCGAAATAAAGTTTGTTAAAATATTTTATGGACAAAAAATCCGTCATGTACAGCATGTTTTTCTTAAAAATTCGTTTTTGTTCCATTAGTTTCTCTTAGTTTTTCGTAGTTATTTCGAAAAGTACTATTTTTATAAGTGTGTAATTGTGAAGAATTTTTGATTTTTGTGATCAGATTAGTGGCAAAATTGTCATCTCATTACTACAGTTCTTGAACTTCTACTTGTGTCGAGGTGATTTTTTTCAAGTTGTTTTGTAAATGAATAAAATTAATGAAATCTTCGTCGCAAGGAAGATTTTGGGCTTGATTGATAATGAAAAGGTATATACGTCGGTCGTGCACTCTCGCGCACTCGAGAGAATGATTTTAAATGCACGAGAGTTATATGCATGACAATGAATGTATTCTGACCCTGACAATCGCAGAACATGAAGCGATGAATTTGAATCGAGTGAAATGCAGTAGAAATGAATGAACAATGACTTTGAATGAACGATTTTGAAAGAGAAAGAGTAAGAAAATCGTAACGATCAATACCAATATTGATTGAAAATTAATTGTTTTATCATTGTCGTAAATTTTATTTTTTTATCATGAACAATTATGGAAAAAAGTATGAGAAAACATGTCTGTTATTTTTTGTTGGTCAAGTTTGTTTACAGAATTAGACAATCAATAAAGGTATATATTCAAATAGCAAAGAAAACGTAAACTGGTGGAAAAATACGATGTCAATAAAAAATATGAAATTTTTACTGTCGGAGATGTGTCGATATAACAAAGCGTAAAAAAATAAGTCTAAGATAAATGACAACAAACAGCGTGACGTGTAAAAAAAAAGGAGAAAATCACTACGACAATAAAAAAGAGTCTGCTGCAGCGAGAGACAGAGAGAAAAAAAGGGAAAATGACGAAATCTGAAAAAATGAGTAAAGTAAAACTTATGGGCAAAGAA